CTTCTGATTCTCTCCCCCGTAAGCAAGCAGCTTGTGTCGTGTTTAGTTGCTGACTGAGTTAAACCACATCAGTCCTTTTTGGTGCCAAATGTGGGGCTCAAAGGCTTTGACATAACAAGTTTGATTGGAATGTGCTAGATAGAATTTATAGCTGTTATTGCTCTTTGGCTATTAATTGGCAGGCTCCTGTGCTTGCACAGGACTCACTTGTGTATTACAGTCTAGAGCTCATTAGTGGCTGCTTTTTGCCTTCACTGCTGGCTGTTCCACTGTGCTGCTGATCACCTCACTCTGGGAACATTTGGATTTTGGCAGTGGAGATGCTCCTGGGCTGGCAGGTAGCCAGGATATTGCTGCTGTTTCTGTGCTGCTGTACCAGACAGGCTGGAACTCCAGAGTGAACTCGAGTCAAAGGGATTGTGACCTGTGGATGGATCCACGGTGGAGCAGGTACATCTCGAAGTGTCTGTGGCCATGGCTATGTCTGTGCCACAGCAGGTGTCCCTCTGAAGGGATTGGGGCCCAAGGACATGACTGTGCTGCAGCAGGTACACCTTGAAGCATCAGTGGCTGTGCATGAGCACATGCTGGAGCACCTCAAAGTGTTTGACCATGGACAAGCCCACGACAGAGCAGGAACACCCCTGGAGGCACTGCAGCCAGGGCTAAGGCCGTGTTGGCAGGCTCTAAAGGAACAGTGGCTGTGGGTAAGGCCACACTGGAGCAGGTGTATCCCTGAAGACTCTGTGGCCCATGGATAGGGCCATGCTGGAACAGGTGCCCCTCAAAGTGACTGTAGCTGTGGATAAGTCTGTGCCACAGCAGGTGTCCTCCTGAAGAGACCGTGGCTCATAGACAAGGCTCCTTCTGCAGCAGGTAGAGCCCTGAGGGATTGTAGTCTGTGGATAAGTCCAAGGCAGAGCAGGGATAAGGGGAGGAATTCATTGCAATGTTAAACACAATGGTCTGGTCCAAAGGGACTGGGGTGGAGATTGAAATGGAAATACCTTTAAACTGTTGTAACCCAGGATTTCAGATGCATGTTACAGAAACGCAGAAGCATGTTACAGATGCACATTAGGAGCCACCTGAACCAGTGAAGGGCAAGCCTTACATGAAGCAGTGCCAGTGCAGAAATATCATAGTGTATTGCTGCAAAGTGGCCAAAGAGCTTGAGAAAGAACTGCTGCACATTCCAACTACAAAAACCAGTAAGTTGCTCAACCAGGGCACCACCTTGCACTGCTCTCAGTTTTTGAAGGGGGCTCCTTATCATGATCAGCTGAGCTTATAAGCTATAAGAATGAGGTTGTGGGCTGAGCTGAGTACAATGGGCTCAGTTCAGGGGAAAACTTCCACACACAGGTTCTTGATTCCTCACTACTCAGAATATTTTGCAGCACTAGTACCTATGGTTACAACCTCATTCATTTGTCAAGTGACTAAGCACAGATTTTGTGAGAAACTACACCCTTTGTTTCATCTTACTGTGGAGTTTACACAACATGTTAAAAAAAAAAAGAAAAAGAATCAAAACTTTTGCCAGAGGAAGTTACCTGATATATATCACCATAATTTTCAATTTCTCCACTTCCACTGTGACATTTGCCATCATTGAAATCCCAGCCAGAGTACGGCACAGCTGGAAAATCTCTGTTTCCAGCATTAAAATAGCTTCCACAGGTAGAATGGGTGCCTGAGCCACCTGCAGCCCCACACATGTGGTTGACGACAGCATCCACATAAATACGAACCTGGAAAAGCAATGTGAGCATTTCACTATGTTTTGTAGTGATTGTGAAGTGATAGCCTCAACTTTACCACATCACTATTGACTTTTTTCCACTTCAGTTTCTTCTCAGTATATGTTTCCTTAGAGGAAAGCAGCAGTACCTTCCCTCAGCTGATACAGCACTTCTTGCCATATCAGATACAGATTTTTCAAGGCACTTACTCCAACATTGTTGCATCTGGTCACCATGTCTCTGAACTCATCTTCGTTTCCTGACCGAGTGCAGAGCTTGTAGCTAATGGGCTGGTATCTTTCCCACCAAGGTCTGTTTGGGTTAGTAATGACAATATTTTCATTTGGAGGTGAAACCTGTAGATGAAATTATATACTTTGATAAGAAATCAATTGGTTTTATTTTGACATTTTAAGGGCAAAACCTGCATTCAGCATCTCTACCCTCAGAGGCAGGCTAGCACCCAACCCAGCCTCTCCCACAGCATAAGCCCAGGTCTGAGAGATATCTGTCTTGTACACTGGCAAGAAAGAGATTTTATTTTTTTTCTGTGGGTTGCCCAGGTCCAGCATGGGCCTGCTTTCAAGGGCATGTGCACGGAAAGGCTGAAGCCACAGGAAGTATTTGTAACTGGAGTGGTGACAGCCTTAGACAAGCCAAACCTCAATGCTTATGCATTTCCCTCAGAACAAGGGAAGCGTCTTACTTAGCTTTCAGGGGAAGCCTTTCAGAGGAAGGCATGCCCCTTTGTAACTGACCTGCTAGAGATACAAAATCATTGGCCCTCTCCAACAGCAAAGTTACTTGGAGATGGCTGTTTCTATCTCAGGGATTTTGATTTATTAATTAAATGCTACAAATGCCATTTTCCTACTACTCTTACCTGAACTCCTCCAAATCCATTAGGAGCTAAATAGCGTTCACACTCCAGAGCAATATCCGCCCAGCGCCATTCAAAGAGATGTACAATAGATGTCCTCTTAGAGAGGGTGTTGGGGTTGTACTGCCCCCAGCAAAACCCCACAGCTACAAGGAGGAGGAGGAGGACTTGCATGGTGCCATCTACTGAAGGCACTCTAGTCTCTCCACAGGCTATTTATGTTCCTGCAAGACGACAAAGTTCCTACCACAGCTGTCAAAATTCACATGGATCAATGCTATCAGTTATTATTTAGCTAGCTAGCTCAATATCATTCCTTCGGTTGGTTTTTCTCCTGGATTGCCCAACAGCTGAAGATAAAATACCTTTTCACAGTGATTATACACTATCATAAACTAAGCAGTCTGTGAGCAGTGTACCCAAATCTAGAATTGCACTCTTTCATGTAAAAAAAAATACTTTATCAAAAGTATTCCAAAACATAACACACAGACACTGAAAGGGGTCTTTGGAAGGTAAAAGGAGGGAGAGGTGATTGAAAGATGAAAACCTAACAGCACTAGGAGAATGACTGAGTTTATCTAATCCTGACAGCTGGACACCTCTGAATGCTGGCAGAGTTCAAACCAGGGTACCTGATCAGCCACTCTCAGTCAATTACAGCTCTATTGGACAACAGGCTGTGGATCTTCCCCAGGTGAATCACACTGGTAACTAGAAACTGATGCCTTTTCATACCTGAAGCATTTCTCTAGTGTCACTGCCCAGTCTCTGCTAGGAACTGTTATCAGTTTTCTTCACACAACTGGTTGTGCAGAATAGCTGTTGCTGTACCTGACCGAAAGTAGTAACACATCCAAGCTGTGTTTCCTTCTCCAGCAGAAACTTTGCATAAGGTTTCATCTCATTTTAAATGACCATTGATTCATCTGAGCCAAGGAACGCAACCCAAAATCAGATGTAAATGATACTAAAGATGAGTGTTAGCTGACTGACATAAAACAGAATCTGAAAGCCAGAGCTGTTGCCCAAGTCCCTTTTGGCTTTTCCTACAATCTTCTCCTTTGAAAAAAAAAACAACTACTGACTTTAGCTCATAAGATGCCTTCAGGTCTTCATACAGAACTGACTTATAAAATCAAGGTCTTAGCAACAATTCTCCATGAACAAGCTTGAGTCATACCAACACCACTCTGAAAGAATACAAAGACCATAAAATTCCTGACATTTGATGAATATCTGTGACAAAAAAAAAAAAAGTTAGAAAAAAGGTCACATCTACTCCAGAAGAAAAGAAACATCAGTACATCAGTGCACTTTGTACCCAAACTACCTCTAGTGTGTTCTTTCTGAAACTAGCCATGCCAATATGTCACATGCATCCTTCTCTTTCCCAGAATTTGTCTTCAAGGACAAAACACAGAAGCATTTGTCCCATTTGTCCACCTGTTCATTTTCATGTCACAGACCTTATTAAAGGCCTCTTTTCCCACTACTATAATGAAATAGTAAATTACTGCAAATGACCTTGCCTACTCACTAACAGCAAGGAACCAGTGAGCAATTGCACCTTGTGATTACCAACTCAGTGAGAACAGACCCCCTCATCCCTCAATATTACTGAAAGCAACCAAATGTGCCTCAGGTTAATTTTTACATCATCATTCCCTGTGGGGTTCCATTGATGAGATGGCATGTCACTGCATGACTTTCAGCTTCCAGTGGCATGCGTTTTCCACTGAAAAATATGCTGCTGTCAGCCAAGAAGAGTAAGGACCCATCCTTGCTAGCCTGATGCAATGGATGGCAAACCCACTGGGAAAGAGGACTGAGAGCCCTCACACGACAGGCTGTGCAGGCTGTGACTAACTGTCCAAGGGTGTTGCATGGAATGCTAATTTAACACACAAAGGGCTGGTAAGTGGTTTAGTTGAGTGCATTAGCTGATAATGTAACTGTTTATCCCAGAGTTAATTAAAAAGGGTGAATATCTCCTTGGTTTAGCCAGACCAGCATTGGGAAGAATGTAGACATGGCTCAGTACAACAGAGGTTACACAAAATTAAAAATTAACAGAAGTTTTTTGTAGGTAGCAATGGGCTTTAGCTGGTTTCAACCCACATATTCCTTTTCCATGACTAGGAATGCCCACCATCCTACTGGTGATTGTATTATAGGCAGCAGTAATGGAGATCAAGTCAATTTTGGGGTAACTGTGGAAGAACTAAGTTTTTTACTTGTACAGGTACAAGGTGACTGTGAACGAGGTAACAGATGGGCTTGACTGATGCCAAAGGCTGGAATAAACAACTGGCACAGGCCAGCTTCCTCTGACCCAGACCCCATGTTTGGTTTGTCACAAAAAAGGGACAGACTTGATTTGAATGCCATTTTTTATTCACTAGATACAGAGAACGTACAGATCAACAGAGGAAACACATTTTCAACTGAGTTATCATTTGGAAGCAACTTGAATTGTGCCATGTTTCAGCACAAAAGTGTCTTCTCTTGGTTTTTGGACATCCTGTCAATTCCCAGTCCCACTTGCCCCTAAAGACAACTGCACTACTTCCACTCATGCACAGAGCAGCACCATTTTAAATTAAGTAATTTTAATTTTCTCCTTTCATTTTGTATGAGTATTTTAACTGAATAAAGCACACTTAAAAATGCAAACAGGTGTACAGCACCACTCCCAGATGTGCACTGGCACCACTAGCTCCTGTCTCTGTAGAGCAGCTGCTCACTATTTCATTAGTATTAACTAATAGACTTTGCTCTACCTTGGTTCATTTGGTGCTGGACATTCGGCCCACCTGTATGTTCTTAGCAAAAATACAGAAGAGAAGAAACAACAGGTGCACAACAGATCTGGCTACAATTTAGCATCAATGTGAATGGCAATGAATGGGTCTTCGTCCTCATTACCAATCAGGAATTTTGCCATGCCATCAGCAGCAACGTGAACTTCTACTGCTGTACAATGGTCACCATTCTTTTGCCCAGAAATGACATCGCAGTAAGTGCCAGCAGGCAGACCAGTCTGCAGAGTTACATTCAAAGACCTTTGGAAAAGATTGAAAAGCAGTAAGGATTATGTGGACTCTAAAATGCTCTGCAACTCATATTGGAGACCTTCTCAGATGTTAGGTAATTCTGGAGTTATCCTGTAGCACTTCTCCGGACACTGCAAAATCTGTACAACCACTACATCCTTCAAACTGTTCATCACCACAACCTGCTTCTAATTATTACAGGCCTGACACACTCTCTTTCTCTTATCATCTCATTCTTGCATAAAAGATTGCAATACAGTTTTTAAAACTGTCACTTTTAGACCACATTCCTGAGTTTACAAGTTCCCTCATTTCTATAAGTTCAGACTTTGCTGGCTGACCCTGCTCAACGACCCAGCCAACTTCAGAACTGGGAAACAGCGAGATCAGAGTACAAGGTCTAACTGCCAAGAGTGAAGAGTGTTCCAGGTAGAGTGGAGAATGATAAGTTTAAATTGTTAGAAAAAGACACAGAGGATGCATCTGTTCCAAAGATCTGCTGGAGCCAGCAACACCCTAAAAGCTTTCACTATTACCTAGATTTTTAAAATAAATAATAAATTATTTATAAAAATAATAAATTATAATTTATTCCTCTCTTACTTACCAGTCATCATTATTGAAAATGATGAAGCCTTTATTACCACGGCCAAAAGCTACTTG